CATATTAATAGATGCAGAGTAACATTTGACAAGACACAACATCCATTTATGATAAAAACTCTGAATAAAATGGGTATAGAAGGAAAGTATCTCAACATAATAAAGGTCATATATGACAAACCCACAGGTGATATCATACTCAATGGAGAAAAACTGAAAGCTATCTCTATAAAACAGGAACGAGATGCCCACTTTCACCATTCTTATTTAACATAGTACTGGAAGTCCTAGCCAGAGCAATCAGGCAAGAAAAAGAAATAAAAGCAATCCAAATCAGAAAGGAAAAAGTGAAACTGTCACTATATGCAGATGACATGATTTTATATAGAGAAAATCCCAAAGAATCCACCAAAAATCTTTTAGAACTAATAAATGAATACAGTCAAGCTGCAGGATACCAAATCAAAATACAATAATCAGTTGCATTTCTATACACTAACAGTGAAGTAGTAGAAAGAGAAATTAAGAATACAATCAAACTTACAATTGCAACAAAAAGAATAAAATACCCAGGAATAAATTTAACAAAAGAGGTGAAAGACCTGTACAGTGAAAATTATAAAATGAAAGAAATCGAATACGACACAAAGAAATCTAAAGATATTCTGTGCTCATGGATTGGAAGAATTAACACAGTTAAAATGTCCATACCTCCTAAAGCAATCTACAGATTCAATGCAATCCATATCAAAGTTGCAACGACATTTTTCACTGAAACAGAACAAAGAACCCTAAAATTTAGATGGAACAACAAAAGACAGAGAATAGCCAAAGCAATCCTGAGAAAAAAGAACAAAATTGGAGGTATCACACTCCCTGATTTCAAAATATACTACAAAGCTACAGTAATCAAAACAGCATGGTACAGAAAACAGAAAACAGACACACAGATCGATGGAACACAGTTAAGAGCCCAGAAATAAAGCCACATATCTATGGACAGGTAATTTTTAACAAGGGAGTCAGGAACATACAACGGAGAAAGGAAAGTCTCTCCAATAAAAGGTGTTGGAAAAACTGGACAGCCACATGCAAAAGAATAAAGTAGACTATTATCTTACACCATACAAAAAAAAGTAACTCAAAATGGATTGAATGTAAGACCTGAAACAACATAACTTCTACAAGGAAACATAGGCAGTATGCTCTTCGACATCAGTTTTAGCAGCATATTTTCAAATACCATGTCTGACCAGGCAAGAGAAACAATAGAAAAAATAATGAGAGAAAAAATAATAATAATGATGAGACTACATCAAACTAAAAAGCTTCTGCACAGCAAAGGAAACCGTCAACAAAACGAAAAGACAACCAAATAACTGGGAGAAGATACTTGCAAACCGTATTTCTGATAAGGGGTTAATATCCAAAATACATAAAGAACTCATACATCTCAACAAAAAAGAAACTAACAAGCCAATTAAAAATGGGCAAAAGATCCGAACAGACATTTTTCCAAAGAAGATATACAGATGGCTGACAGGCACATGAAAAGATGTTCAACATCACTAATTATCAGGGAAACGCAAGTCAAAACTACAATGAGATACCACCTCATGCCTTTGAATGGCTATAATTAACAAGACAAGAAATAACAAGTGTAGGAGATGATGTGGAGAAAAGGGAAATCTCATATACTGCTGGTGGAAATGCACACTGGTGCAGCCACTATGGAAAACCACTTTTTTTCCTCAAAAAATTTTTTTTCCTCAAAGAATAGAACTACCATACAATCCAGCTATTCCACTGCTGGGTATTTATCCAAAGATTATGAAAACACGAATGCCTCATGATATATACAGCCTTATGTTCATTGCAGGAGTACTCACACTAGCCAAGACTTTGAAACAACCTAAGAGCCCATCAAGGGATGAATGGATAAAGAAGATATGGTATACATACACAGTGGAATACTACTCAGCCATAACAAAAGATGAAATCTTGACATTTGTGACAACATGGACGGACCCGGAGGATATGATGCTAAGTGAAATAAGTCAGACGGAGAAAGTCAATTACTGCATGATCTCACTCATAAATAGAAGATAAAAACAACAACAACAACAAAAAACAAACACATAGATAGAGAGATTAGATTGGTGGTTACCAGAGGGGAATCGGGGAGGGAGGAGGGCGAAAGGGATGACTGGGCACATGTGTATGCTGATGGACAGTAATTAGTCTTCAGGTGGTGAATATGATGAAATCTACACAGAAATCAAAATACAATGATGTACACCTGAAATTTAAATAATGTTATAAACCACTGTTACCTCAATAAAAAAAAAAGGAATTAAAAAAAACCCCAAAAACCGAAAAAAGAAAATGACACACATGACTTCTACATTTCCAAAAGAGAAGTGTTAACAAATATTGTTCCCTAGGTACAGATACGCAGAGTGAATGGTTTGGGGGTGAGATAGCCTGATGATTGTAATTTACTTTGAAATGCAGCCAAAAATAAGATGGATTGATGCATAGAAAGGGAGACAGAGCAAGACAGAGAAGGGATAAACACAACATGGTCAAATAATTGCAAAATCCAGGTAGTGGATACAGGGGTGTTCACTGTAAACCGTTTTCACTTTGCTGTGGGTTTGGAAATTTCCACGATAAAAGGATGGAAGAAAATCAAAGAACTAAATGAGAAAAATAAAACTGTGGACACAGCCCAGCAGAAGTCATGGTACACATGGGTGACAAGTGACCAACGAGAGGGACAGACCAAGGGCTTTGGGAAGCAGAGGGGCCAGTGGACCAGGAAAGGCCCTGAGAGTGAGGTGCCCTGAGTGTCAGGTCTCAAAAGATGGGTGGGCGGGACCCTATACAGCTGAGGAAGGGCCTGCAGGAAGCCGAGTCCCCTCCCTCCCACGGCACCTCTGCAGCAGGTGGGGCCCAGAGCAAGGCTGGCCCTTGGAGGGTGCCGCTGTCCAGCTAAGGGGCCTCCGACTCCCCAGCCAGCCCGGGGTTAGGGAAGTGGTCTTCTCAGCACCCTTGGACCCAGTGCAGAGGACGGGCTGGCGTGCAGGCCTAGAGGCTAGGAGGCCAGCAGAGGCCTCAGCCTCGCCCTGAGTGAGCCTGAGAGACTGGAGAGGACATGGGCCTCGTGCTCCCCCACTGCCTGCTTCCCCCGGCCCCTGATCTATTCAGAATGACAGCCTGACGAAACGGCTCCTTGTCCTGCATTTGGGGTCCAGGTCCCTGCTTGTGCTTTCCCTCCAAGGGACTGTCACATTGTGTGGCATCTTCTGACAAGACAGCAACTGTTTAAAAGGTCAGAGCGGGGACTGCTGCCACGCTGGCAGAGGGTGTGCAGCGGGCACCTGTCACCTCGGCTCGGCTGCCACTGGGGAGGAATGACGACTCGCATCCTCCCCTGCGGTTTGATGTGCTGCTCAGATGCCGCAGCCTGTGTGTGTGTCCAGGGGACATAATCAGAGAAATGACGCTGTCAGGCTGCCGCACAGCTGGGTGCTTTAAACCAGGAGAAGCAGAAACAGACCCTACGTGTGTGGGGGTCTCTAACCCGCCTCCACACCTCACACTGCAGCTCACAGGTTCAGAACACAGGAGGACTCAGACACCCGCCACCAACAGCTGGCTCAGCTGGAGACTCATCCTGGATGTCCTTGAACCACTTCCCTCCTGGACCGGGGCTCAGCATGGGGTCAGGGGGAACAGTCAATGATCAATGATGGAAATCTTAGTACCGGCTACTGTTGGTTAGGGCCTCCCAGCTTCTAGATCCTGGGCCACTCACTGTAAAATCCACTGGCCTTACCTCTCACAAC